CACAACTACTGTAAGTTTTTCTACACTTGTATGCAGGAGCTAACCGAATGATAAGCCATAAGTATTTATTAATTATTTTACTGAGGTAAAGGTTGCATATGCCAACGGCTATAAACTCATATCACTGTGGCTCTGTGCCTGTTTCCCCTTTCGTTGGGGAGGGCGAGCACATCTCAAGGGTGATACATATATACTGGTATATGAATTTGGATTTTTTTCCCTTACAAAGTTTATTTGGAATAGTTGGTGACGTATGCAGCATCTCATTCTGGTATACCCCACTTTTAACAATTTTTGTCTGAATTTAGATTATCAATAAGAATTCTTCGTGGCCTTGTCAGTATAACTGCCTTGATAGATCCGGTATAGCACTACCTTCTGGTCCTATATTTTATAAGTATCTTTCCCCTTTGTCTTGTGCTCGACTTTCTCCCAGACATTGTCCCAAAGTTTCTGCAGTGAAGGGTGTATCTTCTGGGCTTCCTTCAGTTCCTGCAAACCTACATTGGGGATGTCGCCTTTCGACACTTGATATCCTATTTACTCTTATTTTCTTGAGCTCCGGTAGTAATTGCAGATGCTTCATCAATCTTTGTTCTGTCTAGTTCCTCCAAGTTTCTACTATTTAATATGTTTCCATTCAGCAAGTCGTATATTGTTACTTTCACACACATTACCTCAATGTCTCCTATATAATATGGAGTATCAATGAATTATAAATACAAAATAAATGAACTGATAATACTACCTACACTAAACAGTCTTTTATATCTGACACTACTGGAAACTAGTTGTCTGATATGGTGCTGAGACATTATTACTCTACCCAATTGGCCATGTAGTCCCACAACTATATCAGTCTTTTTCCAAACAAGTCCCTGAGTTTATTTCACTGTGTAATGACCTAGATTGTTAGTATAATTTTTAACCAAAGATCTAAGACATGTCAGTGATTCTTTATGTTTTTAGCTGTGGTAAAACACATGCAACCCTAGCATGACCACTAGCATCAGTTACTTCCACTTTACTTACCATGCCTACAACCATTCCAGCATCCAGCTTGATAGCCAATCATCCATAGTTACAAAGCAGAATTAGCACTTCATCCCTTGCTGGATGAATCACTGTCCAAGCTAATACTGCCTCCTTTCTGTACATAAAACAGTCTTCTAATCATGTTAAAAGGCACTGACACATTAAACTTCATCCAGATTAAACCACAAAACACCACTTGCATATATGAATGTACTATAATTCCATTTGCTTCGTACATTTGTGCATTCCAATCTTCCTGGGTTGGATCTGGGTGGAATTGGATGAATTTCCCGTAGAAAATCAGCTCCCCAATTGTACAGGCAAAAATGATGGGCAAACTCTACAGTATATCCTTCCAAGGATGCTGATTCCAGACCCAATATTGGAAATGACTACCTCTGTTTTGAAAGCAACAGCTCCTATACTCAGCCAAAGATCAACTTCTCTACTAATGTTTAGTCTATCACCATTTCTCAGAACATGTACACACACACACCATACTGAAATGTTTCACTTTTGTTTTTTAAAGGGTACATTAATACTGTTTGGCAATCGAATATGAAATATATTTTTCAAAATACTACAACTTCCGGTTAACCAGTGCCAAAAAAACAATTAATTACATGGTTAGTAAACATTTTCATTATCTTTTTCTTGGCCTTTTGCTATTTAAAAACGTTTTGGTTTGTGAAGTTATATGATGTGGTTAGAAACCATACTTATTATACTACTACTAAGACATACTAATTAAAGCAAACATTGCTTTAAATTATCCGACTTTCGCTATAAAATCTCCAAGTTATTTTCTTTGTAGTTAAGCACAAAGCTACACAATGGACTATCTGTGTTTTGCCCATCACATGTATCGAAACCCAGTTTCTAGCGTTGTAAGTTCGTAGACATACCGCTGTGCCACTAGGGGGTAGGAGGGGGGCAAAAGTCTAAGTGAAACAATTAACAACTCTGTATTATAAGCCCTATAAAACAGTATCCCTAAAACTACAGAAGGTTCTTCGAGATCTATAGTAAAAATGTGCACGTCCAATCATCTTGCCCCTGGCCATCCACGTGGGTTGTAACTACATAGTTTAAAAGCTCTGACCCTTTTGTTTTGCATTTTCCTAAGAAATGTAGATCTCTCTACGACCACCTAAGAAATCAAGCAAGCTCTAGAAGAAAAATTATCCACAAAATACACTCTGTACACAAGCAATAAAACAACATGAAGGTAATGGTAAACTATAGCCAGACAGCAGATAAACTACTTCAACAAGGATGCTTCACGGAATATTTCCACTTCCGCGGTGACAAACCACTCCCAAAAAAATAGAACAACCCAGCGAAGGAATATAACGACAGACATTCGAAAGCTCGACACACCAGAACCAACATTACACCAAAAACCTAAGTTTCACACCAGTTACATCTCTACCAGGGATTAGCAAACTTAGACGTCGGCAAACGAAGATAAAACTAGCGCACACAAAACCCGGCCATAAAGAAGAGGAAAATACAAGACCAGCAAACACAGACGCAGACCAAGGACACCAGAGACGTAACTACAAAAGATGGGCCCTCCTACATTTATTTCCGTATACCTGTAGTTACGATTCTGTACGATTGAAATCGTGACTTAATTGAAAATTCAAAATTAAACCAAACTTAAAATTGCATCTTTTGTTTATTTTCGAATTACACACGTATCGAGTTTCGGGCCGATTAGTTTACACATTTGTGAAAGAGAAGTACATAGTAGTACGCATTGTGAAGCTATAATTAACCTGCCACTTTCTCTGCATAATGCAACAATAAATGGGAATTAATGCTATGCTATTTGTAGACATTTATCGCCTTTTTTCTTTGGATTGCTTGGCCCTCGGATGTCATTAACACACATGGTTTATGCTTTTTTTTTTTGGAAAGATTGTCCAAGTGAGTAAAACAGTATTAATCTCATTATATTGCACAAGTCTTCTGCATTTGAAATTATGCTGTGGAGCAATAGCCAATAACTAGAGCCATCACAAACAACACTACTGGTGGTAGAAGAATGGATTATAAATCACATGTACTCATTGTTACATCACTACCATAGATTAAGAACACCCCTCTGTATAACCAGTTTAAGACTAGTGATTTTAATCCTGCAGTAAACTAACTGATTGTAAATTTTACATGCATGCTGCAAAAAAAACATATATTTATGGCCACTTAACTTGAATTAATAAAATTTGCATGGAAAAGTGTACCAAATCTTGCAATCTTTCAAATACTTGACAATTACAAAAACAATACAATGGTAATTTTTCTAACTCTTTGTTACAATATTTAATAACTGTTATAGATAAATACTTTTAAAAAATCACATAGCAGCAATTGCAGAAGTCTTAAAAATATAGAATACATATACCACTTTTATACATTTATTAAACTTTTAGCACTTAAAATCTTAGTTAGATTTAATAGCATAAAGGCACTTTTCAATTTCCATTTAATTGTGCACCTTTGAATGATTCTAAGGAGCAACATATTTTTTTTGTTCAACTATACAAAACCAAGTGATGAATGAGTCAAATGTGAATTACCAAATTGTACATAAAAAACTGGGATTTACACCATTATAACAGTTGAAATTTCATTTTTCAAGGTTTTGTATTACTGTATTAGAAATTCCTGTTTACATTTTATGCTGTAGCCATAAATTCAAATACAATATGAAAACACATTAGTTCACAGTTTAACAGATTATTATCATGATGAGCAAGAATTGTATTATTCAGTGTTATCATTTATTATTACATCAACTAAATCAGTTATTAAAATATCTTACCCAAATGGAGATTTCAATATCTTCAAGTGCTGAAGTTATTGTCAGGTGGTGTTTTATTATTATTTTAAATTTTTCACTGTATAAAGATTTCAGTTAATTCTAGGTTGCAGGTTTTCTTCATTTCTAAATGATGTAAAATGTAATAAACACTATACAAACATAAACAACAATGTTTATGTAAAATAAATTATGAGAGCCTCACAACATAAAGATTTGGTTTGTTTTGAATTTTGTGCAAAGATACACAAGGGCTATCTGTCCCTAATTTAACAGTGAAAGACTAGAGGGAAGGCAGCTAGTCATCACCAACCACTGCCAACTTATGGGCTACTCTTTTACCAATGAATAGTTGAATTGAATGTCATGTTATAACACCCACATGGCTGAAAGGGCAAGCATGTTTGGTGGGACAGAAATCCAAACCCACGAACCTCCATTTGCAAGCCAAGCATCCTAACCACCTGGCCATGCCGGGCTCAACATAATGGCAAAAGTTTATAAGAGCAAAAACTTGTGAAAATTTATCTAGTCTGATTTATGTCCTTTAAATATTACATATCATTATGTACTACAAGCCAATGAAGTGTGACCATTTTGTGCAAAGCTCTTAAAATGTAGGAATTATGAACTGCATAATCCAGTATTTTTACAATGCAAAAAACTTTCAAAATCTTCTGGTTCAAATGCTTTTCATTTTTAACTTGTTGTTTTTATCCAAGAGTCCTGATAGAAAATGTCAAATCATAGTTAATCTTAACATGAACATTTTACAGAATTTTGAATTTGAACCAAAATACACATTAAACCAATGGGTCACAAATTGATTAATTGATTAATCAATTA